AATACACTTTTAGGTCCTCAAACACACACAAATGAAGAGAGAGAGAGGTATACAGAGAGAGAGTGATATATATCAAATATATATCATATATGGTCTAGTTTTGCTGAACCTCTCAAATGGAGAAGAGAGGTCTCCTTATATAGACAAGGCAAAGGCTTGAAGCTTCTTAGAGAAGCTAAATGAAAGGGTCAAAGGGACCAAGCTTCTAAGAGAAGCTATCCCAAAGGTCCAAGCTTCTTGAGGAAGCTAAGACAAAGGGTCAAGCTTCCTCAAGAAGCTTGAGCAAAAGGGTGCAATCTTCTAGAAGAAGTTTGGATCAAAAAAAGGAGCAAAGGGGCCAAAACAGCCACACACGTGTGGGAGGGGGAGGGTCTGTGCAATAATGTGGTACCGGCCAGAAAAGGAGGCCATTGGCCAACTAAATGGTCGGTCGACCACACAAAGTGCCGACCGGCCATCACCAATGGCCGGTGGTAAGAAGACACAGCCGGTGGCCTCAAGCCATGGCCGCTAAGGAGTGGAGATGGCCAACAAGCCATTCCCTGCACTCCAAACAAAAACACAGGTATTTGGTGCAAAACCAAACACAACACAGTTGAGTCGAGAGGTCCTAAGGCGAGGCACGTAGCCGAGACCTCCGGGAACTCAAGATGAACACAAACGTGGATGATCACCAAGTGTTCAAACGGTAACGTCCAAGTCTTGAGGAAGGTCAAAAATGGGGTGTCTACAGTTGCCCCTCTTTGACAGAACTCGAAAGTCATAACAATGACGGGAGTGAATGTCAAAGCCCAGAGACGACCCATTTTTGACAAGGCTGAAGACTTAGACAAAGCATACAAGCCACAGACAAAGATATGCGCCCGAGGACAGGGGCGAAATGCAAGAATAATGTACAAAGCCGAGCATAACTTATGATCATACAAAGAAAGCTGTAACGAAGCATAACAAATGCAACAGTTTTAAGCAAGTAGAAACCAAGCTACATTACAATGCATAAAGGGTTTAAGAGAATTACTGTAATTCTCACTACGAATACAGTGTGCATGTGTGATAGATACACAAAGCGAACGTGTGTGATTGATACACAAAGCGAATGTGGTGAGCATAGTGTGATGGACACAAAAAGCGAATGTGTGATAGATACACTATATGAAGCAAAATGTGATAGATACAGTAGCTGAGCGCGTGATAGATACACTAAGCGAGTGTGGTGAGCACAGTGTGATAGGTACAAAGCTTAGTGAACAAAGTATGATTGATATACTAAATGTGAACACGAAGTGTGATAGATGCACTTAGTGAACAAAGTATGATTGATATACTAAATGTGAACACGAAGTGTGATAGATGCACTTAGTGAACAAAGTATGATTGATATACTAAATGTGAACACGAAGTGTGATAGATGCACTTAGTGAACAAAGTATGATTGATATACTAAATGTGAACACGAAGTGTGATAAATGCACTTAGTGAGCAAGTATGATTGATATACTAAATGTGAACACGAAGTGTGATAAATGCACTTAGTGAGCAAGTATGATTGATATACTAAATGTGAACACGAAGTGTGATAAATGCACTTAGTGAGCAAGTATGATTGATATACTAAATGTGAACACGAAGTGTGATAGATGCACTTAGTGAACAAGTATGATTGATATACTAAATGTGAACACGAAGTGTGATAGATGCACTTGGTGAACAAGTATGGTTGATTCACTAAATGTGAACACAAAGTGTGATAGATGCACTTGGTGAACAAGTATGATGGATATACTAAATGTGAACACGAAGTGTGATAGATGCACTTAGTGAACACGTATGATTGATATACTAAATGTGAACACAAAGTGTGATAGATGCACTTAGTGAACAAGTATGATTGATATACTAAAGATAATGAAGTGTGATGGATACACTAAAGTAAACGACGTGTGTAATGGATACACTAAAGTAAATGAAGTGTGTGATGGATACACTAAAGTAAATAAAATGTGTGATGGATACACAAAATGAGAATGTGTGTGATAGATACAGAAAAATGAATATGTTCGTGATAGATACACAAAATGAGAATGTGTGTGATAGATACACAAAAGTGAGAATGTGTGTGATAGATACATAAAATGAATGAAGTGTGATTGATACACTAAATGAATGAAGTGTGATTGATACACTAAATGAGTGAGAGTGTAATAGATACACAAAGTGAATGAAGTGTGATTGATACACTAAATAAATGATCTTAAACGGAACTTCTTTGAATGAATTGTACATATAATATCGTGCATGACTGAGAAAGAAATTTGATAGGTACAATGCATTGCAATGCATGATGCTTAAGGAAAGCAATAAATGGACAAAGCGGCGCTTTAGAAAGCACATTATAACCAAATATAAAAAAACTTATAATCAAATATCTCAAAATAATAATATAATTATAAAAAAATTAATTATAATTAAAAAAATAACGTAATTAAACATGCAAAGCATGTATAATAAAATTCTCCAGGTAAAATAAACCACTTATTTGTGGGGTTGCCATCATATTAAAATTTATTTTTAAAAAAAAAAACTTATTTTAATAACATTCTTTAAAAAATGGAAAATTACCTACTCCTCCCTTAAGGTTTAACGAAATTCAAAACTTTTCTTGAGATTTTAAAAATTACATCCCGTCCCATCACAATTAACGCCGTTAACGGATATCATAAATTGACTAAAATGCTTTTTTGACAAATAAGGAAAAATTACATACACCTCCTTGAGGTTTAGGTAAATTACAGATTCCTCCTGAGGTTTAGCTAAATAACAGATTCTCCTTGAGGTTTAGCTAAATTATCATTTTTAAATAAGTTATGAAATGTAAAATTAAAAAGGAAAAACACTTATCACACTATAAAAAATTAAGATTTTAGAGACCAAAATTTAAGGACAATTACTTTTAGGGGACAAAATATTTTTATTGCGAAAAGTGTTATTATATTTTTGCAACAAAAATTGAACATTAGTGATTAATTATTATCTTTTTTGTTTTAAAAAATAAACTATTTTGAGACCAAATTATTTTGTCCCTAAAAGTCTATTTATTATTGACATTTTTTAAATTTTATCAGTAAAAGCCTTATTTTTTACTTTTTAGGGTAACCTTTTAGCGACTATCCTCACGATAATAGAAATTGGTCCTTAAATATTTTTTGCAACAAAAATTTTCACTTTTAGAGATCAAAAAAATTGGTCTCTAAAACTCTTATATGTTGTACTGTCAGATGGTGAAAATATTATAAAATTAACAAATAATTAAATAAGTTAAAAACACAAGAAATGACTTGTCAAAAAATTCTTAGAATATGTTTGGTTTGATTTTTAGAATTTTATTTTCATTTTTTTTAAAAAAATTAAAAATTAATTTGATTAAGAAATAAAAAATTAAAAAATAATTATTATTTTTATATAATTTTATCTTTTGAGTGGTTAGAAATAATTTTTACAAATTAAATATATGTTTTTCATATTTATTTTTATTAAATTATTTTTTATTTATTTTTTTAAAATTCTAAATTTTTTTTTCTAAATAACAAATCAAACATGATTTCAAAAACTTAATTTTTTTTTTCCATCTAACGTAATTCTTTTGTAAATTTTGTTGATTTATCGAAGGATTTCAGTAGGAGCAATATCGCCCATCAATTTATATTTAGGTGATGTCAATTAATTATTCTTAACATTTAATTTACGGTAAGAATTAAATTGTTACGTGAATATAAATCTCAGAAAGCGTGATATAATTTTTGAAACCTTAAGAAAAATTTGTAATTAGGTAAATTATGTAAATAGTCCATATAGTTTACACGATGTGTCAATTTGGTCCATATTGTTTCAATTTGCTCGATTTTGCTCCTTAATTTAACGGATTGTATCATTTTAGTCCAATAAATAATGATTGTTAAATTAATTTAACGGAAGGTCAAATAATGTGTCAATTTAGTCCTGTACTTTACACAATGTGTCAATTTGGTTCCTGTAGTTTCAATTTTCTCAATTTTAACAAGGATCAAATTGACACATTGTGAAAAATACAGACACCAAATTGACATATTATTTGACTTTCTGTTAAATTAACTTAACAACCGTTATTTATTGGATTAAAATAACACAATCCGTTAAATTAAAAGATAAAATTAAATAAATTAAAATTATATAAATTAAATTAATACATCGTATAAATTACAGAAACTATTTACATAATTTTCTTTTCTAATTTAGCTAAACAGTGTAGGTAATTTGTCCTTTAAAAAAAAAAAAGTATCAAGTGGATAGTCAAACTTAACTAGTCGTAGTCTGCGTTCCTCCCACGGTTCGTCAACTTCGGTCGACGAAGCCCTGACAAGAGCCGGCACCTAACGAAAATTCATTGGTTGGTCGCCTCATCAATTACAAAGAATAATGCTATATGAATTTATTGATATATTAATTAATATATTGATAAATAATACGATATAATTTTAAAAATTTTGAGTATTTATAATTTATATAATAAGTGAAATTAATAATAATAATAATACATTGATATATTAATTGGTATATCAATTAATACATATAATACTATTGAATTATAAATTATTATGCTTTTTTATGAATAATATTATATATATCGATTAACGTATTAAATAATATATTAATAAATTGTGTAATATAATTTTATATATTTTAAATGTTTATATTTTGTATAATCAATAAAATTAATAATAATATAACACTAATATGTATATTAATCACTAGTTATAACACCGCTTTCCAGATTCATACGTGCAATTCTCTCCATCAATGGGAGTGTCACATGACGCCGTCTCTGCTCCTCCCCAATCAAATCTCACCACGTGTCTTACAAGCAAACTTCTGCATTTCAAACCTACGGCGACAAAACCGTTACGACGTCACTCCCCTAATGGCCGACGCGTTTTTACCGTTGAGTTTTATGCCCCCAAATCTTTAAAACGCTCTTCTTCTTCTTCTTCTTCTTCTTCTTTCTCTCTCCCATACCATTTTTTCCATTTCCACCCCCTATTTTCTCTCTCTAAATCCAGAATATCCATGTTGCTGATCTAATTAGGGTTTCATATTATATACCCAATGGAACTTCTCGTTCCAATCCCTCTATTTTTCTCTTGAATTGGGTTTTTTTTGGGGAGTTTCTGTGGTGAAATTTAAGAATTTTAGGGTTCTTTGAATTTGAATGTCAGAAATTTAGGGGGTTTTTTCGTCATCCTCACCGTTTATGAGTTTCCGATTGAAGAGATTGAATCAATTTTCTTTTTCACCCATTGATTGATGTTACTGGGTATTATTCAAGATTGTAATTTTTTAGGATTTTTCTTGCGAAATTGAAGGAATTTAGGGTTTCTTCGAATTCGATCTCGTGAAATTAGGGTTGAGGTCGATAATGGCGTCATTTGGATCGTCGTACTGGTGTTATACATGCAGCAGATTCTTCAGAATTCAAGCACCAGACATGATTCTCTGTCCCGATTGCGGTGGTGGGTTCGTAGAGGAAATCGATGCCCACCGTCGATCTAATCGCCATCATATCTCTCCTTCCTCCTCCGGATCACACGTCAATACCTCTCCTGCGCCTGAACATTCCAGAACCCGCCGGTCCCGGAGGAATTCCGGCGATCCCTCGCCTTTCAATCCCGTTATCGTTCTCCGCGGCGAAATGGGTAGTTCTTACGAGCTTTATTATGATGATGGTTCGGGTTCTGGTCTCCGGCCTTTACCGGAAAGTATGTCGGAGTTTTTGATGGGTTCAGGGTTTGATCGTCTTCTTGATCAATTGGCTCATCTTGAAATTAATGGGATTGGACGGTTTGATAATCCACCGGCTTCGAAAGCTGCAATTGAATCATTGCCTATAATTAAGATTGGTGAAAGGCAATTGGTGGCTGATTTGCATTGTGCTGTGTGTAAAGAACCATTTGAGGTTGAATCCGAGACTCGGGAAATGCCTTGTAAGCATATTTACCATTCGGATTGTATCCTCCCCTGGCTTTCGATACGAAACTCTTGCCCTGTTTGTCGCCATGAATTGCCTGTGGAAACAGAGGATTTTCTGGGTTCAAATGATGAAGATTCAGTTGGGTTGACGATTTGGAGATTACCCGGTGGTGGGCATGCTGTTGGGAGATTTACAGGTGGTAGGCAAGCTGCTGAACGCGAGCTCCCTGTCGTGTTTACTGAAATGGATAGTGGTTTTAATGTTGGTGATAGTGCTCCAAGGAGGGTTGCTTGGGCAACAAGAGGCAGCAGCAGAGCGAGAGGGGAGAGAAGTGGAGTGAGTCGTGCTTTTCGCAGTTTCTTCTCACTGTTCAGAAGGTTTAGATTTTCATCCTCTCGGTTTAGTCTTGAAATTGGGTTTAGGCGAAGTCGATCCCATTCTGTTGTCGATAATAGGCCCTCAAGGAGGCACAGACAGAGTCATGTGGTTGGGCTATGATGACAGCAGGCTACAAGAATTGTGATTGTTCTAAGCATCTGAAAATTGTATTGTATGCATAACTGCATGTATCAACACATGGGAAGCAATGACAAAGAAGCCTCCAATTTTAACTCTTTTGTTGATTAGATAAGTGCTTAATTGCTAGAAGATTGTTATTTTGTTAATGAAATAGAAGAACAAAGGTACCTGACCCTTGTTCTGTTGTTGTGCCTGCTCTAATGTTTAGACTTTTGCGTTATTAGAATTAGAATAATGAATTCTTAAGTCTAGGTTTGTTCTTTTACCTCAATAAATTTTTTCGATGTTTTAATTATGTGATATACTTGTGCTTGTTGGCTGTGTTGGATGTCGAATACCAATCTTTCATAATTATTGGTCCGTCTTTTGGATTTTCAAGAAAGAGCTCGCAGTTGGGTTTTCTTTACCATTTGATTTCTTTTCATAATTGTTTCATTTGATTTTCGTCAAGGAGCTCATAGTTGGGAAATCTGGGTATTGTCATCACCAAGAAAATGCAGATTTCATTGAACACAGAAATTGTTAAACTTGCAGATTATCTCGAGTCTTCAGGTCAGTGAAATAAACAAATAACTTAACACTTTAGTCTGGAATACACTCAGGTTGTTGGAGGAGACGACTTCAAGTAACATGCAACCTGTCAAAGGTGTCCCAGTCTTCATGAGATTATCTGTGGTTTCAATTCTCTTGCTTACTCTGTAGCTTGGTTATGTTTTCTATTGTTGGATATACAGGATAGTGGAATCTGTTTTGGAATCTGGGTCAATTTTTTCTGTATCTTCAAAGAAATTTTCCTGTGAAAACACAAATTAATGCAGGCTTTCAGAAGTTGGAAATGTAAAATCCCTAGTAACATGGGGCTCATTTGAACATTCCATTAATATTTTCAATGCAATATTGAATGCTACTTGCCTTTTCCCTTCATATATCATATTTTCCCCTCGTGTAACTCGGTATTATGTCAATTCACTCTTGTTTGTTATAGAGGTGTTTCGCTAAACCCACATTTTAGTAATTGCTTGCCTACAAGGTTTGGGATATGTTGTCAAGCATGTGATTGGCTTCTTGAAGCAAAGCTTTTTTTAGTTGATCACTTAATCATCAATCAGGATTCAGACATTTAAGTTGAGAATGGAACGAATATGTTCCATTATTGGATAGGATAGGTTGAGATTCTTGTTTGTTTCAACCACCTTGAAATTCTTTGGTTGTTATTTTCTCATTCCATTCTTCTTCTTCACGTTCTGTGCGGTAAGTTAATTTCTCTTCTTTTCTTCTCTTTTTGTATCCTTTTAACTGATATGTGTTTCATTTGTTCTAATATCTAGGGAAATGCATTTTTTATCTGAATTCCTGATTGGGTTTAGAGTTTTGATTGTAGGGGAATTTATTTTTAAGAATTGGTATACATTTGTCTTTCCTATCAAAGAAGTTACTTGGGAAATTCCCAGTCGCTGAAAATCAAGAAAACTACAAGAACAAAGCAGCCACTGTTTTTTAAAATATATTTTTCATTAATTTCATTTTCTACAAATTTATTTTTGAGAAAATAAGAGTGTTACATGGGAACAGTATACTTTTATGTTTGTTTAGCACAGAGAACAAATATTTCTTCACAATGAAAGAAAATTCAAAAAAATGGAAGTCATTTCTCTGGCATACTGGAGTCATGGCTTGCTTGCAACAATTGAAATATTAAAGTGCAGCCCTTGTGGAACTAGTATGTACTTTTGATTAATATTTAGTTTAATGTATTGTTTGCCCGATCTAAAATTGATTTTGTTTTTCCTCAGGTTCCCCATGTTGATCAGGTATTGTTAATTTGTTTTATTTTGGGAGAATTTATATAGTGGCTTATGATGGTTTGCTTCCTAGTTGGCATAACTAGTTTGTTTCCTCAAAGAGAATTGGTATCTTTGTTTCTTTCATTTCATTTTTGTTTGGTCTGAGATGGAAAACAAAAGGTAAAAAGTATACTTGTTTGGGATGGTTTTAGATTCTGATTTTATTTTTAATTTTTATTTTTCTCAAGTTAGGAATCGAAATTTGAGAGTTATTTCAAGTAATGATGGCCAAAATTTCAAACTATTTACCAGTTTGAAATTTGAGCATTAATGCTGAAAAAGACAGCTTGGTCCTGGGGTGAAGTTTGCTATTAGCGTCTCAGCTGACGCGGAAATCTCATGCCGTAAGTCGCTCTCTGTTTAATTGAGCATCATGGCTGCAGAGCGCGTATCGGGGTTTGGATGGGAGTGTGGGGCAGTTCGTGAGCTTTAGTGGCGGTGGAGATGCAGGTTGGATGGTCGCGGTGGGGTGGCAGTGAGTTTTGATGGAAAAGAGAGATAGAGAAAGATAAGAGAGGAAAATGAATTGGTCGGGATGTAACGATTATGACGAGATGGTGGTCGTTGGTAGGTGAAGAAAGAAAAAAATTAAAAAATTAATGTGCTCTTAAAAAATAGTTATATGAGATAGACATCACCATTTTTTGATATTATCGATTAGATTATATTGATGTAATTTAAAAATTAAATGGTGAAATTTATGTAATTAAAATTAGAGAAACCAATTTGTCACAGTAAGCAAAACCACAGAACGCTAGTGTAATTTGTCTGAAGCAAAATAGATTTTGGGAGATAAATTTTATTAGATTGCCCTTTATTTTGTTTTTTCACTCGTTTCCTTTTTCTCTTTTTCTTCCTTTTTTTTTTCTGTTCTTTTCTTTTCTTAACCTCTGGGTCTCTCTACTTTCTAATTTTTGAAAATGAATTTAAAAATTAAGTTCTAAATACTAAACTAATCATAACCTCAACCTCTCCTATTCATATATTTTCATAAACAAACCCGACTCTTCGATTCACCTACGTCAATATATTACTATATAATTATTAGAATTATTATATAATTAAAATTGTCTCAAATCACAACATATAAGAAAAGAGATATACAATTTCACTTGAAAACACTTTCAAGACGATGCAAGATATATCATAGCATAATTAAAATGCTATAGAATTGTGCGTACTGGATTTCGCACTAGATGAAAGTGGATTGGGGCTCCGCACTCGGTTGGACTGTCCAAGGATTGAGGTTCCTGCCACAAAAAGCACCGTAAGAGCTGCTCGGCCGGGGTTGGCCGGATAACCCCTCCGGTGTGGGAATCAGTGATCGGAGAATAAGTGTAGAGAGTCGAGTTTGTAAGTAAGTGGGGTTTAGCTTGGAATAGTTCAGTTACATTCACATTGAAGTTCATGTACTATATATAGGGTTCCTTACTTGCTTCTCAAGATGGTTTCCTGGAGCTTTAGTGCTGCCAGGTTTCCTTTTAGCATTGCCCAAGGTGGGGGACCACCTGATAGTTGTTATAGAATACATATACTCATTGTAGTCATGCTGATAACAAACCACATTCTTCTGGTTTAACAGTGTCATGACCCGAACCCGCCCCTATGGGTTAAGGACATAACCGGCCAGTAATCATAAGATTACCTACGACCTCAAACCAAAACAACGTATTTTAACAGAGTTAATGGGGGCCAAACGGAAGCAATTTAAAACTTTGTCCTTAGAGCTGTGCTTACATGGCACATTAAAACAAACCATACACATATACATTAATAATTCACAATAGATACACAGTACCATAAAGTTCTGTACAGACAGGATCATCCAAAACTAAGTCAACCCATGAAAACTATATACAGACATATTCAAATAAATTGCCGACATAACAACTTAGAACAAAATGGCAAAAGGCGAAGGTGAGTCTCATGCGTGAGACACATAGGCTGACTTTCCAAAACTTGGTTGTTCCTTACAGACTTCACTGAGGCTGGGTCTGGACCTCTCTTGGCTCAACTACAAACACATGAATGAGCGTGAGCGAAAGCCCAGTGAATGATATCAAATAAATAAACTACATTGGAACATTATACATCAAACGGCCTTGGGCCCAATTCATTCATGTCAAACTGGCCTTTAACCTTTTCGAACGTTCATATCAGACTGGCCTTTTGGCCTTATCAAACTTGTCGTATCAAACTGGCATTTAAGCCTTTCAAACTTGTCATATCAAACTGGCATTTAAGCCTTTCAGACTTTCATTTCAAACTCGCATTTAAGCCTTTCAGACTTTCATTTCAAACTGGCATTTAAGTCTTTCAAACTTCTCGTATCAAACTTTGTCCACCATTCAACATTAATGAACTTTACAAGACTTACGCAAAACTAAACAATTGGACAATAACATATTTCAGATATTACTCACAGTGATCGGCTTGTAGATTTGCCCGGGAGCTTGACCCTACACATTCCATGAACACGAAAGGGTCACTAACAATTCAATCCGTTCTAAATTTACATTTTCCTCTTTAGGCTTTATTCTTATCTCTTTAACTCATTTACAATGTTTAACATATGCCTAAGAGTGCTTGCAAGTGAAAGAGAACGGAAAACGAAACACAGAATGCGAAAATAAAATTTCAGAAAACAGGGTCCCCGCTCGAGCGTGGAATACCCCGCTCGAGCGGACCCTTAAGGCCTGCAAAAGTACTGGTTGCATGAAAAATAAGCTCGAGCGTGAAATAAGGCGCTCAAGCGAAAGGCCTGTCTACAAAGTTCCACGCTCGAGCGTGAAATATCCCGCTCGAGCGTACACCAAGTTTGCAAAAAGTACTAAGAGCACGTAATTTACGCTCGAGCGTAGGTTATCCCGCTCGAGCGGACCTCAAAATTCTGGAAAATCCAAAATGTGTTCTTGAGCTCCCTCTCAACATTCAAACCAACATTTCTCGCATTTTATGGCTCCAACCTCATGTATTCTTGTACTAACATGGTATAAACACTAAAACACATCATCATGGAGTTCAATTTCATGAATCAAACACATGCATGGCTCATTTTCCACCAAACTCACTACCAATATAACAATTTCATGCATTCAACACTTAGACCCTTATAATTTGCACATGCATGTGGTATATTCTTCTCATTCTCAACTAATATGATGAAGAGGTGGTCAAGAACATGATCTTCAACTAAAAACTCACATAGATCATGCATTTAGTGTTCAAATATGCAAATTCAAAGCAACTACATACATGCATGCTAATATGGACCCTCAATTCAACATGGTCAACTCAATTTCATTTCAATTCTTGTTCTTGACCATTAATCAACTTTAAACACACAAGATTACACATTACACTCATGAATTCAAGAGTCAATTGCTTACCTAGAGGCTCAATTTATTCCAATCACTAGCAAATTCTTGAATAATCTTTGAGATCACCAAGCTTTGAGA